TTTGGCTATACATTGCACTCCTTCCTCTCAGCATTTTCATACGATTTTCTGAGTTTCTACTCCTTTGTTCTGCATTGTTTTAACTTCAAACAAAGCAACTGTAAGTGTGATTTGCTACCGAACTTTGTGTTCGCTGAAACACTGGGGTTTGAAGTACCGCTACACCAGTGTGTTATTCGTTCTATCTTGGGAGGAAATAATCCATAACCTTGGGTACTAGGAGGGGATTAAATTCCTTAAGGAAACACTGTGAATTCAGTGGGCTCGAATTTATTACTGTTTCATTACGATAACTTATATTTCTCAGAATTATTATTTACAAATGCAGCAATATTGGCGGGACTAACAAATATTACCTTGGTTAACGGGAGAAAACCTTAGAGCAAATGGTCTTGAGAGCTCCGTAACACTTGAGCAAAAGTTGAAATAAGAATAGTGAAGCCCGACCTTTCCTTTTAAAAGGCTTCAGATGTAAGACGTCAGGGGAGCTTGCATCGCGAGCCCCCTATCGCGAGCATCCTGCTCATTAAGTACTTTCTGGATATTAGCCTCCCTCGTGATGCCTCTAGTTCAGTGTCTTCCATTGAGGCCTAACGGGTTGGAACGTCTCCAGGGGTCATGATGCGAGCGCCTTTTGCGTCCTATCTTTGAGTCCTTTTTCATTCCTTGAATTCCCAACCCGATTCTTTGGTTTACCTTGTTATTTTTCCAATCCGGATCACTTCCAGACCTTCATATAGGTATAACACCATGCTCGTATGACATTATTCTCGTCCTTAGTTATCCTTTGGCATGTAAAACAACAATCCAATAGCTCGTTGGCGAACTTTAAAGCCTTGAATCATCATTATTCTCATGACTGAGCGCTACTGCATTTTCTTAGATTAGTGGACACTTGTTGAGGTTGATATAGAATGGACAAGGTATTCAATTTTTCTATTTGCTCCAAAAGAATATTTGTTTTTATCTCACATAAAGTTGATTTTCCAAATTCCAATCAAAATTTAGTTTAGGATGTTGTATATGCTCCTCTATAGTGTTGCTCTAAACTAGAATATCATAAAAACTAAAATAAACTTCTGCAAACTTTAAACACATGATTCATATACTGTCCAAAACAAGAAGGGGATTAGTCAGCTCAAAGAATATGATTAAACTAGTCAAATTTTCCGCGCTTCGCATGGTCATAAGAGAAGATAATGAATTTTAAATATGAACTTATAGTAAATTTGATTCATACTCCCTCCGTTCACTTTTACTTGCAGGTATACTAAAAATAGATTTTCATTTTTACCTGTCACTTTACGGATATCAAGAGAAGACAAATTTATTTTTCCTGTTATACCCACTGTATTTATTACTTATTTCAAATCATTTTTCTCAAATCCAATAAAATATGCATCAATTAATATGAGTATCATGGTAAATTATGCACTTCATTTATTATTTCTTAAGGGGCGTGAAAAGTCAAAAAGTGTCAATTATAAGTGAAAGGAGGGAGTATATAATAGATAAAAAAATTGTGCACATACATATAAATAAGTATATTTATTCCAGCGAACTCCACAACTATCCGTGTCAGCAATTCTCAAATTTATTTGATTGAAATTCTAAAAGTAAAAAAATGATCAACTATCCGTGTCACCAATTCTCAAATTTATTTGATTCAAGTTCTAAAAGTAAAAAAATGATTATTGTAATAGGTTGATGATCATGCACGTCACTACTCCTGTTACACTTCTGAGTCACCTATTATATGGTGTACATGTTAATTATCAATGCAAGTTTATATAAATGTAAATTGAATCAGATATTGTTGAATAGCTTATAAGTAGTTATTAGTGTAGAACAACAATAACTTACAATTAGGAATGCTACGAAACGGTCCAGATATAGGCCTATGATGTCAACTGGATTATAATAAAGTCGCATTTTGCTACATAAAATTTGGCAAACTTGTTTTTTTTAGTCGACGTAAAACTCTAGCAGCCTCAAAAGTAGAACCTCAATCTAATTCAACTGCAGAATGGCAACAACCAGAATATGACTATAGTCAGAAAAAGAAAAGGCTAGTATTAAATTACCAAAGCACATTTTTGGGATAAAAATAATATTTTCTATTTGAAAATATACATATTGACAACAAAAAGTAAACTGGAATAGAAATTAAAGAAGGCTAATTAATTCCATCTCTCACTAAAAAACTAAAGGCGATGATCGATGCATCATGCATGGTGAAATTTAGCAAGTTGCCGAAAACCAGCACCATATATAATAAATAAATAACCCCCACAAAAGCTCTTAATCAGCTTTTTCAGTTTTTGGTTCAGCATCGCTTCTACTTTCCAGTAGCACCACCAATGGAATGGACCATCTTCATCCATAGTAGCTCCACCAACACCACCTTGATACATCTTAGCAATGACTGGATTGCAGATGGTTTTCAACTCCTTCATTTTGTCTTCAAATTCATCAGTCTCTGCAAATTGGCTACTCTTTCTCTTCCCTCTCACTTCAACACAACTATTCATCACCAAACACCACACTACATATGCAACCAGATTCTTCTCCAAAAGCAAATGCAGACTCTCCAACCAGCATTGTTTTACAGCATCCTGGAAATGTACCCCATCTACGGAGACGCTTTATGCTCCAGTCTCCCACATTGTGTCATAATATCACATTTGAAAGAAAAAAGGTAAATTATTGAACAGTGCTCTGCTCAGTAGTAATCCAGATTTAAATAGAAAAGTAGATATGTGAGAAGAGATAATACAAACTTTTACGTGTCCCCTTCCTATCTAAGGGGTGCATAGTGTCGCCTAAGATCACAAAGAGATTAGGAGATTTGTGAGATACTTTAAAAATGCATAGAACATCCTACGGCATCTTATATATGCACAAATAGTCTGGCAATTTCACAGTTAATAAAGTAAAGATGGAAGATAATTAATATATATATCATCTTCCCGTGAAAAGAATGCAAAAAAGATGGTAACATGTACTCAACATATTTTTCATCTTAAATTGAGTACGCCGTTTTAAATTGTTACCCTATTGTTCCTTTGGTTTGCCTTTGTCAAAAAGACAGAGCTCACCAAAGATACGGGGAAGTGAGGAAAGAGAAATGGAAAGAAAGTAAGTATGCATAACTTTATTCTGCAATGAGATTCCCTAAAGAAAGGGAAAAAAGGGTTTGTTTTGAGAAGTTTACAGTTTTAAAACAATATTACACGTCTAAGTTTATTACTTTTTTTTTTTGTTAAGCTGCTCAAGGATTTTTTATCTACTCAGGAAACTGTGACGACGAAAAAGAGAAATGGCAGGTCGGGCCAAACACTGACTGGAATTGTTCCTCAACGCATGTTAAGCAACTTCATCATACAAAATCAGTTTGACAGGGGATATATATTCAAGTGGAATTTCAGTAACTCATATACCAACCTTTTGCTTTTGTATTGGAATTTAGAATTCATTCCCCACTATCGTCTTTTTCCTCCCTCCAACAATATAGCTTTTTACTCGCCTTTCTTCTCTTTGTTACCTTCTTTGGACTCTTCTTCTTTATTTTTATTCAAACACGTCTTTAACAGCGACTTGTGAGTTTGTCAAGTCTGGTTCTCCGCACCTTCAATAGTTAAAGAAAAATTAGTCACTGTCAATTTTCAAAGCCGTTTTAAACTCTTGATGCTAGTTGGTGTGACTCCTAAGATTCTTTTGAATTGACTTCAAATTTGAAGGAGTTGAAGAGAATCGAAAGCTTTGACTACATAATTCTAGTTAAAGACTTCACCTATTGTAAATGTTGCATAGAATATTGAATCATCTAATATTGTATGTCATTATAGAGTTCAGCAAAAAGGGGAAAAGAAAATTATTATTTGAAAGAGAATACAACTGAAAAGTGTAAAAGAAGCATAATCAGAATAGCAGTTAGTTGCAACAAATGAATCAAAAACAACTCACAGAGAATAGTTATCCATACAACCCAACTAATGAGAAAGAAGAAAGCAGAAGTATCACTTTTCATTCCTTTTATATGCCGTCACTTTTGATTTCTTCAACACACCATAAACCTTATACTCCAACTCTACGTTGTGCTTAATTTAGCCTTTTTATTGAACCCCCAAGACATCCTTCTTCGAACCCTTGATTTCTTCAACACACCATAAACCTTATACTCCAACTCTACGTTGTGCTTAATTTAGCCTTTTTATTGAACCCCCAAGACATCCTTCTTCGAACCCTTGATTTCTTCAACACACCATAAACCTTATACTCCAACTCTACGTTGTGCTTAATTTAGCCTTTTTATTGAACCCCCCCTCCCCCTTTTCTTATAATTGGTATTCTGATTCTTTTAAAATTATTTTTATGAAGATGGTTAACTAAGTCGTTAAACCGAATTCATAATAAATTGAATAACTTAAATATTTGTAGGACAAAATTAGCAATTCAATTGGGTTTTCCTGTTAGGATACACAAAAGAAATTGTATCTAAATCACGGATCAACATCCTCTTCCAACTCGAGGACTTCCTCAAAATTCAATATTTTTATACACTGCAAATAACTTTGTGGTATTCATAACCAAAATAACAATGACCTTTGAAGTCTACATGTTTCTTAAAAGACCAAGTTAATCACATTCAGCCTGCTTGATATACTATTACCAAGAGTGCTTTGTTCAGAAGCTTATCATATCCTTATAGCATATGGTGACTACTTCTTTAGGTATTGTGTCCATCAAATTGGCATTGTTCAGTATCCATAAAACAACAGTATAATTATTTAAATTGAAAACATGTATCTCTGTTATTCAATATTATTGACTTCTTGCATCTCCAAGCGACCAATTGGTACAATTTTTACTTTCCATCTACTCCTTTTTTTCTCTTTGCATTTGGTAGCACAAATGGAGGAGGGGAAGACCGTAAAAATTTCGTATCTCAGAACCAACGTCTTATTTCAGAAAACTCCAACTGAACCGGTGTTATAAAAATCCACCAATAGTAAGAATGTAATTTATGTATATTCTGTTCAAATTGAATCGAATCGTGCAAAAATGGGCAACAAATAACAAAAAGATGCAAATTTGATTGTTAAAATTGACCTAAATTCAAGCAAAAATTCGAGAAGAAAACCAAAGAATCTTTAAAACAGAAACATGAGATTTACCTTGCGCTCTAAAATCCTCATCGGGGGCGAGACCCTAATCCTCCATGGAGAAGATTAACATTGTCGATTCCTTGGTACGGAGTAATCCCCGTTGTTTAGGAGTATTAAAGGAAGTCAAGAAACATTTTGGAATTAATAAAAGGAAGAGACGCATCCGTTAGGAGTATTAAATTAAAAGTGGCGCTCGTTTCTTCTTTTCTTGTTTTCCGAACAAAAAAAAGCAGAAAAATGTAGGAAAAAGATAAATGAGATTGCTAGTTAGTGAGACATGCCACGTCACCGGCTTATGTATATATATAATTTAAAGTGCCTAAATATTCAAAGTGTTAGGATAAGAATATGTGAATAAAGCTATCTAAAGATTAAAAAAGAAATCCTTCAAGTTTATTAATTCTTACTTATAATACCAACTAGTGAGAGTAGCCCAGGGTTTGCCTGGATCCAACGTTAACAAAGCTATACTATTGTAATAAAGGATATAGTGACGATATCTTCAAGGATTGAGCTTGTGTAGAGAAATGGAACACTACTAAACTATTACATCTTATAAGAGAGAACAATTTTTGATGTAAAATAATAACTTTGTAATAAAATATATTATTTTGTGTACAATATTTATCAAAGACGAAAAAGTGAAGATTCCTTTATAGAGTAATTCTCTGGCTTCAAGAAGCAAGAAACAACAACTGCATCATATTCTTTGTAGTAATAGCTTTGAGTAGTATGAACCAGACTCCATGACTTTGGTTACCAGCAAATTTAAGAAATCACCGTCAACTGAGAAAGTATTGAGAAACTGATGTAAGCCTACTAAATGATATGCTCCTGAGTCCTAAATCATGGCATATCATATTGCATCAATTGTGAAAATACCTAATTTATACCTTAGTGTAAAAAATAGCTATCCAGTCATCAATTTGATGTATAAAATTTTTGTGATCACTTTCAATTCCTGCATTTTAAAATCTAGTGTGTTTTTGGCATATAGGTTCCAAAAGATTTTTAAAACTTTAGGTACCTACTGAAACCTATATGCCAAAATTTACTATTTGGCTAAAATAGGTATATTTCAGAAAATTATACAGATATACTTGCTAAGACGGAGGAGAAGTGATTTAGCATATTAGATAATTTGATAGATTTTTATATCAAGTTGAGGTATCAATAACCTTGGCAAAACTAATACATTTAGCTAAAATTACGATAGTACCCTAATGAAGAACCAGAGATTCGTGATTCATGTCACAGAACAATATTATTCCAATGTCATCGAATGAAATTAGCATGATTTTTGAAATTTCATCATTCTCCAACATAGCAAAAAAATATACGGAGCGACGAAAGCCAAAAAAAGAGTTAAAGACAACAAATGCAATGCTCAGTAAACAACATCACTAATGTAATTCGGTTAAGCTTGCTTTAACAAAACCAAGTAGGCTATGTAAAGGTTAGCACATAGCCAAGCAGACTATGTCTTTGGTTTCATTCCTTATGTTCTTATGTAGCGTTATGAGAACGTAAAGTTATATCAGGTATAGCGTGCGTACCCATCTCAATTGGCAAAACCATTATATAAATTATATCTATGGTAAATACAACAACACCCAACAGGTTATTTTACCTTTATTCCATATAGCTGGAGGAAGCAGTTAAATTGCAGGTCTGCACCGCTACTTGGTATCATATATGGTTATAGAAGGAAGTATAAGCTATTTGCGAGATTAATCTTTAAATGCTTTAATAAAAATTAATTAATCTAAAGCTTCAACGAATCTTTGCAAACTAAATAACTCCACCAATATAAACTTCGTCGAATATATGTACGAAAAGGAAAAAATTATTTAAAAAAAGTTAAGCACTGAAACATGTACTGCCCATGTTTTGCCAGAAAGTTCAGAAGAAAACTATCTTACTACTATAGTGAGCACCTCCAGTGCTATAATCCCAAATGACAGGTAAAATATCCTAATTACACGATTATGATGAAAAAAATTCCACATGAGACTTCAGGAAGAACTAATTATTAGCTAAAGTATGTCAAATAACTTTCAAGAAATGGTTTGTTCCAAGCTACTTTTACCTTCAAGTTCACTTAGGTGATATTGGATCTAGTCAATTTTTTTCTTAATTTTGTCAATTCATCCGGGATTTGCGACTTGACTGTTCTCCTAACAATACATTATCAATGTGCCATGAAATCTCCATAAGTTGTAATCCATGGCGCATTCTGCCTATAAAAATTAAATACAATTCTGCGAGCTAAATACTTATGATGAAAACTTGAGGATGAAAAGAGTCACAATTTTCTTACCATGACAGCATCAACCTGCAAATATAAATTATAAGGTTCCAAAGCCAATTTGAGAGATCAAAGGCTACGAAAATATTATTTACTTGCTCAGAAAAAATATGGAACACAAAGTAAAAGCACAAAATGGCTACCAGTATAAAATATACTTAATCTTCAAAAATTTAACACATGTAATAGTTAAATCACTTTGAGTTATTTCGTAAGAAATTTCGACAAAAAGATAACAATATATTTAGATGCCTCATACTATAAGATTCTTATAGGTGTTTCCTTTTAAATAGCACCCTTTTAACTAGCATACTTATTCATATACTACGATCATGTAAAACAAATAATTACAATGCATTACCTATTTATGCATATAACAGACTTTCTATGCATTTAACAGCTTAGACATCTCTAATCTGTAGCACAATTTTTTTTGGTGTATGTACTAATCAAACTTTTTCTTTTATTAAATGAAAACAAACTAAAATGATGTATAGTCCCTGTAATTGTCTTGGGTACCCCTACCTTGTGAGATATCGCAGGTTTTGTAAAACAGAATTAAACCCTGAAGAAACCCTCGTCCCTCGCCTCGCCCCCCCGACTATCGTTTCTACCATTGATAAACTCATTTACACTTGAGATGACTAAAGGAGGCAAAGCAACCGTTCTAACATTTACTGAAAAAAGCAAGGTTAGTGACCCCTTATTCATTTACAAATTTCCTTCAATTATAAGTACTATTCTTGAGATATATCCTATGCGCGCTTTGTCAGAATATATTGGAGTCAAATTGGCAAGGTTACCTTAATACCGTGAAGGCTGATGCTAAAGGAAGGTATGTGCTTTTATTTTATGACGAGAGATTACTATTATTATTATTATTATTATTATTAACTGAAATTGACTCCTTTCCTTCTGTTTGTCGTGTGTTTATTACGTTCTTTGTTCAGCAAAGGGGAAATATACACTTCAAAAGTCCGCTATTTGGTCAAGAGAGGCAAGCCCTACGTCTGGGTAGCCGAAAATGATATGCACAATGTGGTATATAGATGTTCCTCTAACATTTTATAATTTTGCACCCTAGTAACTAATGTTTTGGCATTATGTATTCTTTCTTTTCAACCCATAGCCAACTTATGCTTTTGAAAATATTGCAGTGGCCTCTTATCTTGCTCTTTCTTCTGTAGCATAGACTTCAAAATCTTTCAACCTAATTAAAATTTGTGTTGAATCCAAATATGATCTTTCTGGCTCTGGATTCTAGCCAACTATTGTTTAACTAAAAAACATTGTTTCTTGTGGAAAGATCAAGAAAGTATTACTAGAGTAACTATTCTCTGATTGTTCATCTAACTTGAATACGAATCAGTTTCACATTTTAAGCACTTTGATATTGGATTTTTGTAGTAATTCTAATATGCATCTATCAAGTAACATTGTTATTTCTATGAATTACTTTGTCTTACATGTGCTACCGGGTAATATGTGATAAGAAGGATGCCTCCCAAGGTGAAAAGTAAGTTATATAGAAAAGCTATAAGACCGGCTATGTTTTTTTTTTTTTAATTCTTTGAAGTAAATTAGAAGACCAGCTATGTTATATGGTAGTGAATGTTGGGCTGCTAACGTTCAACTGTACAAGATGAGTTTTGCAGAAATGCGAATGCTAAGATGGATGTTCGGTTACATAAGATTAAAAATGACCACATTCGCCATAAGGTGCAAGTAGCACACATTGAGGATATGAGAGAAGGCCGCGTGACATGGTTTGATCATGTCCTGTGTCGAGAAAGTTGTCTCAAAAGACCTACAAATTCTTGGAATTATTGCAGACTTAGCCAAATATAGGGCACACTGGAAGAGAAAATCCATATAGGTGGTGATACCTACTACTTGGGACAGGTTTAGACCTAGTAATTTTATTTTATTTTATTACTGTAATGTATTTGAGCTAAATGAGGAACGATGATTCATATCGCTAACCCCAACTTGTTTGGGATTGAGGCGTAATTGTTGTACTTTGTCTTACATCGAATTGCTTATCTGGAAGCTGGCAGTGTAAAGTTGTTATCCTCTTGAGGGTATTGTAGATTTTTGTTTGGACAAGATAGTGTATAGCATCATGTTATTATTACATCAGGTGTGTTTTATGGTGTTCATAGTAACAAAAATGACAGCAGGAAACTTGCATACGAATAAGATGGACCCTACGCATTCATGATCACCCTGCTAATCAATGATATTAAGCTTATCCATGCTTATAGCCTGTGTGGCCAAGCTGCAAAAATTAGCTTATTTTGAGAAGTGCTTTTCTCAAAAATGCTTTTTTCAAAAGTACTTTTGGTGAGAAGCAGTTTGTGTTTGGCTAATTAATTTGAAAAGCACTTCTGAGCAGCAATTAGTGTTTGGCCAAGCTTTTAAAAACTGCTTCTAAGTATATTTTTCTCAAAAGTGCTTTTGGAGAGAAACTACTTTTTTCTGCTTCTCCAAAACTGCTTCTGCTTCTCCTCAAAAGCATTTTTTTTCTTCTAAAAGCTTGGCCAAACACTTCAACTTTGAAAAAAAGCACTTGGCCAAACATGCTATTAGAAATTTTGAAATTGTGCTTTATTCCCTCCCCCCTCCAAAAAAAAAAGAAATTTTTTGAGCTTGTGACTCGAGCCTTTATTTTTTTTTTGAATCAAGAATGAGCTGAGCCTTATTTTCCCTTCTTCATCTATTCTCCCCTCCTGTCTCCCTCCAATTGCCTTGTTGTGCATGGTTGTCTCCCCTTCAAAGAGAGGTTGAGTGAATGACAGTATTCTATATATTTTTCGTCCAAATACTTTCTGCTAGTAGCATGATTCATGTGTTGATACCCCAAAAAGCTCTTTGTTTTCTTGACCTACATGCGTTTTTGGAACTCAGTTTGGTGAGTTTAGATCTTA